ATATTCCCCTGTTCTAGCCCTATCGACAGTTAGACCGTCAGTTTCGACGAGGTCCACTGTGTGCTCCACAGCAGAGTGGTGCAGGGACGGCGACTTGCGTTAGATTATAGTGAGAAAAGTATTGCGCTGCATCTATCTCACTCGTGTGTCACTCATCCACTTGCGCCCGGTATCAAGAAGGAGTCCAAAAAACTGGAGATGAGGACAGCGCAATGGGCTGGAGCGGCGTGAGCCAGCATTTAGCGTGTCAACATGCCCACCCTATGTTCGGCATTTATTATTAGAGTGCAACCGGAACAATGCCTGCTGTGGCCTGACCTAGTCTCTATGTTTGTTTAGCGCATCTTCCACGCGACCAGGTTAAGGGGGCCCTAACACAAACCTCAGCCGTAAACCTACTTTTAATTATATTCTTATATTAAACCCTAACCCTAAAGCTAACAATAACCCTAATTTGAATCCTAAATTACTTTAACGCCAACCTTAAACCTAAACTCAAACCCGATTCTTAACTTTACCCTAACCCCAACCATAAATCTAACCATAGTTGCCTTGCAATTTAGCGCAAGGACACCTGCATTGTGGGGTCATTCACATCTTAATATATCTTGAGCGTTCGCCAATACTTTATCAGACGACTAAACCACCGAGGCTGGTTATTGATAAAGCTATGCTACTACTAGTTGGCGGGAGAGGTTAAAAATGATAATGGACTTTGGTCACAGCCCAGACCCCTGACTACAGCTTCAGGGCATGCGGCCCCTTCATAATGCGCGTCCTTTTTGAGAGAGACAATGTTGCACCGCAGGTGAAAACGAAAAGGGGACTTCTATGGAAAAGTTGTGAAGAAGGAGAGGCGATTGTTGAAGCAGATGTATCTTTCTGACGTTTGGGCCTTTCACTCGAACCCACCCTTGGCGATAGTTGCAACTATGGCAGGTATGCCAACAAGGGGTGGCGGACCTATAGGATGCAATGGCCATCATCCCTGTCGTAAGTAACAGTACCGCATTTAACCTCAGGCGCTATATTTCCTGCCCGTCTACATCCGAGTCGTTGATTGCCATTATTTCAACACCATTGCTGCCTCTTCGCGCACTAAGCCCACGGCGATTGCATTGCCTTCCCGTACTGTATTCCCAGTGCGTTCATCATTTTATATGCATCTGCATTTTTTGATGGGTTCAGGTAAAAATCCTGTAAGTTAAGCACCTAAAACTCTTGTTCCACCGATCGGTTCCCCCCTTTCTCACTGCTTCATTTTCAAATTTTCAAACTATGTTTTTGATTTGCTTGTAGTCTCTACTAATAGTTATTTGTTGGTGTTATCAAGAGGCTAGTGGCACCCGTTCCCAGCAACACTTAGAAGGACATTTTTGTCACCCTCCTCCATGTGTGATTGTCCCAACTAATCGGGTGTTCAAAATTGGGCTTACCTTGGAAGTCATCTGTTCTCTTTCCTTTTCACTTAAAGTCTTGCTTGCCATCGTTTTGAGTTCAAACTGGAGGTTAGAAAGTTCGATTTTCAGTTGTGCCTTCTCGGACTCCGACCTAGCTATTTCTCCGTGCATATGGGAAACTTGATCGAGGGCTTTGTTAACTTCCTGTGGAAAAAAATTGAATCAGTCTTCGGCATTTCAGTTTACGGTTGACAACCTATACTTAATATATATATCCCGTTCCCCATCTCCAAAGAAGATGACGAAGAAAAGGCGCTTTCATGGACTACACTCTATTGGCGCTGACGTCTCGAAAACATGCTTGTTTCCATCATCAGTGTTGAGGGGATTGGTCCTGCTTGCAGTGATTTGATTTTCTTGCCGATTGTCTCGTATTATAGGTGTGTGTTACGCGACCAACAGGATGACCAGGGTCGGTACGTTAGGCCAAAGCCAATCCGCGACCAGCAGGAAGACCAGGGTGCGCGCGTAACACACACCTATAATACGAGATAATCGGCAACACAAAAAAAATCACTGCAAGCAGGACCGATCACCTCAACAATCTGACAGTGGAAATAAGCATGTTTTCGAAACGTCGGCACCAATGCAGTATGGTCCATGAAGGCTCCTTTTTTTCTTCATCTTGTTTGGGGATGGAGAACGGGATAATTAATCTAGACCGCATATCTTTAGTCATGTAAATATATATATTAACATGACTAAAGATACGAGGTCCAGATAAATTATCCCGCT